CTATCTCGTATTCCGCGCGGGAATATTCCCTGCTCACAAGTCCCAGGTGCTCCCGCGACCGGACCCTTGGCGGCATTACATTTTCCCATTCACGACCACCCGCCCCCGAACATGGCAAGCCGACAAATCACACGGCGCATTGTCACCAGCGCATCGATCGCACTATGCCTCATATTCTTCCTCTTCATTCGACCGCAGGGGCCACCGAGCCCTGCCGTCCGCGCCCCAGGCCATATCGACCACTCGGCACCGGTATCCGCGCCGGGGATAACCATCCAAGATAGCACGCTAAAGGGCGACGTGGTGATGCCGAAACTAGGCAATGAGACAGTCAAGTAAGGCGCTCTGGGGGAGGAAACAATGGGAAATACACGAGCGAGGTGGGACAAATTGCTGATTATGGAATTGCTGGCTTTTGCAGGGCTGAATTAGGTCGTGCGACTTGGAAGTACTTCCATACTGTCATGGCGCGGTTCCCCGAGACACCCACGGAAGATCAGAAGGAGGCGCTGCGATCTTATATCTACCTATTCGCTAGGTTATATCCTTGGTAATGAGATCCTCCTTCCCACGTGCTCGACCGTCCTGGTGCGAAGTCCTGTGCTAGATTGGAAACTAACGGTTGATGACATCAGTGGAGAATGTGCTGAGCATTTTATGCAACATTTGAGCAAGTATCCGCCTCAAGTTTCGTCACGAAATGCGGCTTCTGGCTGGGCTTGCTTCGTTCATAACGAGGTTAATGCCATGCTTGGTAAGCCTGAGTTTGACTGCACCAATCTAGGAGAATTCTATGATTGCGGCTGCGGTGGGGACGAGGAGGAGGGTAAGGGCAAGGAGGGGACGGCTGCTTCTCGGTCTGATGCTGGAAAGGTGGCTACGGGGCAGCATGATGGCCCTGCTGTGGAGATATCGAAGGAAGAGTTAGTGACTTCCCGTTGTGGCGCATGATTATGTTGCTAATATGCTATTTAGGACTACCCGCGGTTGACGGGATGAATCTTCGACTATACTTTCGACTCTATCGGCCTCATTTTGTCTAGTTTGTACCCAGCGATTGGATGCTTGTTAGACACCTTGTTGCTCATTCACATGGAGCTGGTCTCCATTGTACTATAATAAATTGTCAGTTGACTATGTCAATATCAATCAATATACCCTTGTTGTGTTCTGCATGTTGCTTCTGGTACAAAGAGGGGTGTATCTCAAGGTCTCTGCCTCTGATACTCTCATTGTATCGACATAGTAGATTACCCTTGAGCCGCCCATTTGGTTTCTAGCTTTCTCTTCCAAGGGCATGTATTGGGGCATATGCTCAATAGCATTTCCTCGTTTCAAAAAACATAGATACTACAAGAGCTTACCCTATTCCTAAAAACAAAGTGTGAATGATAACAAGCTACAAAATGGTCAACGACTAGTAAGTGTACAAGTCCCGCTCCTCTAGATTGCCGATCGCCAAAGTGCATGACCCTAGCATTCTACGCGCAAAGATCATCCTACCTGGTGATCAAGCGTGGAAGATGGCGCATGACCAAAGAGGCCTGGCCAGTATATCCTTGAACAGCAAAGCAGACTAAAAGGCGCATTCCGTCGTACCAAGCTCGATTGTCTTATCAGAAAGCACCGATTAAACTTTGTCATGTTCGAGCAACAGTGATGATGTTATCAGGTTGCACCCTCGTAATACTAACCCTCCATCAGATCAACTGGTTTCATGTGGCATGACGGAATCCTCAACCGGCGGTATATCATGGATTCATAGATCTTAGTATAGATGAAGGGATAGCCGGGAAGGAGAGTTTGAGTTTGGGTCAAAAATAGCAGTAAAGCCTTCAACATGGTATGTTTGAGGGGCCAGTTGGCCAGTCTGATTGCTCGGATCATCCCCGCGTCTGCCCGTTCAACTGGGAAGAAACGACAAATGGAAGCATGGGGTCTCCTGACAAGCTTGGTATCCATGTCCGCCTGAAATCTGCGCCTTTTTACCCTGAAACATATACTGAGTCGAGGGATGATAAATCAGGGGTTTCTCGCTTGCTTTTGATCATTTTGATGAAATGTTCCCCAAGTAGTTGGGAAGAGTACAGTTTTGTTTCAGCTCCCTCAACGCGCCCAGCCCATCCATATTACCCGAAATAGCCTAGTGCAGTTCCCAATTTAGACTAGCGTTGACCTGCGCGCCAAATTTCGACGCGAAAAAGAAAAAGAAAAAAAAGAGAGCAGAAAAGCCGAGATATCGAATTTCATATCAAAGTGAATTCCCCGCTTGGACGATTTCTACTGGCATATTCTCTCAAGGGATACAACCCCCCTCTTGAAAAACCTTCCTCAAACACTTGTTCGCCCAGATAGGGTGATCTTTAGTGTCAACAATGGTCTCCTTCTCTTGCGAGGTAAGTCCTATCTGCTGTCTAAGCTCTATGCCTTGCGCTTGAATCGCTGCTAACGGTCAGCCTAGGCATGTGGTGATGTTCTCACCAAGAAAAAGCTCGATCCTCATCGCGGCCAATGTCGCGGCGCCTCCTTCACCTGTATCGATTGCATGGTGCATTTCTATGGATTGGAGTATAGGGCTCATACGGTACGTCGCATCCGCGTCGCATTTTCGCATACTGGTCATGGACCTACTTTACTAGAGTCCCGACTCTAGATCACCAAGGGAGACATCCGCTAACGAGCCTGGTCACTACAGTCGTGCATGACCGAGGCGCAAAAGTATCAGGGTGCTCTGTATAAAGAGAAGCCGCAGAAAGGAAAGAAAGGACAAAACAAGCAGAATCCGAACCAAACCCCCAACGGCCGCCAACAGCAAGCCCGTGTGGAAGACGCTCCTCCTCCCCCTGCCCCCACACCCCCACCTGCCGGTGAGGTGAGAGCTCTCGCTCCTGCCCCGGCCAACAACGACAAGCCTGTCAATGTGTTCGACTATCTCGTCGCCGATGAGACCCCCAATGCATCCAAGGTCGCTCTTGTCGAGCCGCCCAAGGAACAGATGAAGATGAACCCCAATGCCAAATCGGTTTTCGAGCCCAGCGAGTCCCTCGCTCGTGTTGAAACCAACCCCAACACTGATGACGAGGGTAAAAATTACGATGTCGCGTACCAGGAGAATGGCTTTTCATACGGCGCTGGCAATATCCCGCACTCTGCCTCGCCTCCGAATGCGTCAACAGCAGAGTTGGTCACTCCCGCACCTAAGAAAAAGAAGGACCGCAAGGCACCCGGCACCGTCAGCGAGAAGAAGCGCAAGCGCGGTCAAGCCGACGTGCTCAGCACCCCAGGCGAAGCAGTCGACACCCCGATGATGGATGCCCCCTCCAGCATCATCAACAACGCCGGCACACCCATGCTGAACCACTCCGGCTTGACTGGCGGTCTGAACCGGATGATGCGCTCCGCATCCCCCGACGGCGATGACAGCCCAGAAACCAGCCGCCGCGCCTACCAAGACACCTCATCCCCGATCAAGCGCAGCCGCCGCAACGGAAAAGAAGCCAACGGCAACGGCGACCCAGGTCTCGGTATCTCAATGAAGAACCGCGCTGGCCGCCTCGTCTCCTCTATGTTCGGCGGCTCCGCCGTCTCCAGCACCAACGGCTCAGAGCCCGGTTCCAAGGCTGTTGCCCACGCCCGCCGCGGCAGCTCCTCCAGCGGCGACGGCCAACTCGAAGTCCGCAAGAACAAGAAGGCGCACCGCTCACGCGCAGACGACGACGACTCCCGCAAGTCCAAGCGCAAGAGCTCAAACCCCACGGACGGCGACAGACCTTCCCGCCGTCTTAAGCAAATCGACGAGCGTCGCGGTTCCGTCGACTCCTCCCACGGTCACCAGGTCACTGTCTACAAACAGTCGCGGCCGCCCGCGCGCACGGACGAGGATCTTCAGCGCGAGCTGGGTCATCACTTCCTCTCACTGGTTTCCAGCCATAGCGAGCGTGGCTGCTCCGTTAACAAGGCGCTCAAGCGCTTCCACCGTGATCTCTCGGATGAGTATGATGCCGATCGTGGTCGTGATAATGGGCGCAGCCGCGCGGACCGGGAACGCAGAGTTGACGATGAGAAGGATCTTTTCCGCGCGCTGAGGCTCAGACGCAATGACCGTGGTGAGATCGTTGTGTTTATTTAGAGCGTAGACTCGGTGTGTATGATTTCAATCAAACGATAGGATGGCAGTGTGTTGTTTAGTTCTTTGTTACGAGGTGAATGGGCTGGTTTTTTGCATAGCGCCATATTTCTTTTGATGCGCTGGCTTCGATACATTTTTTGTCTATATTAATTCGGGATTGGGACTAAATTGCATTGATCATGTGTTTCGGCTGTCTTTTCTGATGTCCTTTCTTTGTAACACGCATGGAATCGAAGAAAATTACCTTGTTTCATTCAAGATCGAGCGTATTCCCGAAGTCCGATTGTGCTTTAAATATGCTGCAAGGTGGTATTTTAGATATAATTCCTGCACTGGGTCTTTGTTTAATGTCTTGGCATAGAGTGGAGTCAAACACCCGTGGACCCTCACTTTATGATTACATGCATCAACTAAGACCAATGAATTGCATCGGTTCATGCTATCTCTCGGTAATACGAGCATGGCTCGAATTCATAGATCACCGGCCCACATTATCTGGGCACAATGAGTCATGTTGTGTAATTCCTTCAGGGCTGACTCACACCTGAGGCGCTTGCCACTGTGTCACCGCCTACTGCACCGCCCAATTCTGCCATGCGAGCTTTTATCGCCTTCTAGATAATTCATTGTGCCACCAATTTTCTCTCTTCATTCGATAAGCGGGCTTTTGCCTTTGGTTTTTCTCTTGTTGCATTATTTAGTGTCTATCTTACGCTCATTTTACTTTGCCATATCTTTTCAGCCTACATAGACCGACACACCCAACCAACCACCAGCTACTCTCTTCAAAACAAGCGCCAGTGAGAAAATCCGCCGGAAGCATATGAGTACGCCAGGAGTCTCCAGCCAGACCTCCGCCACATTCTCAGCCATGGCAACACCACAGCCAGAGACTTCAATTCCAGCCGGGCCACGACCCCCACGTTCTTCGAGACCATCTAGACGCAGAGGGCGGGGTTCCGCGAAGCGTGATGGTCAACAACAAACACCTGCGGGCGAAGCCCAAAATCAAGCTGCACCGCAATCACAGCCTACACAGTCTCAACCACAGCCGAATACAGCACCCCAACCTAGTCAACAGGATGCACCAACCAGCTCGCGGAGAGGGGGAATAGAGAAGGAAGAGGCCGGAGACAACGGAACCCTCCCCGGCAGGGACAGAATCAAAATGGAGGAGCTGAAAGCCAAGAGACACGACCAGAGGCGCGAACCCGTGGAATAAGAGCGCGTGGCTTTGAGGCCAAGTTGACAAGACCAGACCAGGCCGAAAATGCCACTTTGGACGGTGCGGGGCATTTACATGACCAGTCACTGAGAGCCGATGTGCCAGATTTTGTACCGGGCATGCCGCCATCCCAACAACGAAAACCTGCTGAATCAACATCATCTTCAAAGGGGAAAGGGAAAGCTAGACAGCCTAGAGCACCTCCGCCACCTAAAGTCACAGCGAAGTCAACAGCCGACGACCTAGCCACCCGCATTCACGAAGATATTTCGCATAATCTATACGAATGTCCTATCTGCTGCAGCGAGCTGGGTCGCAGGTCCAAGGTCTGGTCTTGTGAGCTTTGCTGGACTGTTTTCCATCTGAGCTGTGTCAAGAAATGGTCCACGAATGAAGGTGCAGCTGCACAGAGGGCTTCTGCTCAAGAAGACGGGCAGGAAAGCTCCACTCCTCGCGCTTGGCGTTGTCCGGGTTGTAACCTTTCTCAACAAAACTTCCCCACGAGCTACTCCTGCTGGTGTGAGAAAGAAGTTGATCCTAGGCCGCTTCCTGGTTTGCCTCCGCACTCGTGTGGACAGACTTGTTCACGGCCTCGCAAAAATTGTCCCCATCCTTGTGATACGACTTGTCATGCTGGTCCGTGTACGCCTTGTACTGCTATGGGCCCAATCCAGGATTGTTTCTGTGGGCTTAATTCGTCGCAGAAGCGTTGTCAGGATACCGACTATGAGAATGGATGGAGCTGTGGAGAAATCTGTGGTGAGTTGCTGCCATGCGGGGAACATACTTGTCCGCTTCCATGTCATGAGGGATTGTGTGGTGGCTGTGAGGTTAGCATTGATGCCCGTTGCTATTGTGGAAAACTGCAGACGGAGATGCTATGTAAGTCTAAGGATGATGAGGAGGACAGTCGGATCGTCCGCGATGACGGCACAGAAGATGAGTGGACCGGCTGCTTCGGTTGTGGAGAGTCTTGTAACCGTCCATTTGATTGTGGCAAACATTCATGCCAGAAGAACTGTCACCCCCAAGATCCTCATCCTGCACACTGTCCACAGTCACCGGACGTCATTGTCGATTGTGCCTGTGGCAAGACACCGTTGTCTGAAATCCCGGGATACACACCTCGTACCTCCTGCGAAGACCCCATCTTGAATTGTTCCAAGCCTTGCGGGAAGACACTACCATGTGGTCATCCTTGCGAGAAGCTCTGTCATGTTGGATCTTGTGGCGCTTGTTTACGCAATGTTTACATCAAGTGCAACTGCGGTCGTACTAATAACCTCACAATCTGTCACCAAGGCAAGAATGAGCCTCCCCAGTGCCCACGCACATGCAAGGCAACTCTTCACTGTGGTCGACACACATGCACTGAAAGGTGTTGTCCGGGAGAGCAAAGGGCCAACGAGCGCCAGGCTGCACGTCGTAAACTCAGGCCCCATCTCCGGCCCGCTGATGAGGACATCGAAGCGGAACATATCTGCACTCGCATATGTGGCCGGATGCTGAAATGCGGAAGGCATACATGTCCGGAGCTTTGCCACAAGGGTGCTTGCAATACCTGCAGGGAGGCAGTATTTGAAGAGATTCCGTGTAATTGCGGAAGATCTGTTCTGTATCCACCGCAGCCGTGTGGTGCAAAACCACCTGCTTGTAACTTCCCCTGTGAGCGTCCAAAGCGATGCGGTCACCCTCAAGCCGCACATACCTGCCACACGGACGAGGAGAGCTGTCCGAAGTGTCCATTCTTGACCGAGAAGGCGTGTCTGTGCGGAAAGAAGGTGTTGAAAAACGTGCCCTGCTGGCTGGCAGATGCGCGCTGCGGTCAAGTATGCGGGCAGCTGCTCAAATGTGGCTCTCATCACTGCCGGAAGGACTGTCATCGTCCGGGGGATTGCGAAGACGCAACTAAACCTTGCAGCCAGCCCTGTGGAAAGAACAAGACGATGTGCGGCCATCCTTGCACAGAGCAATGCCATGCGCCATACGCGTGTCCTGAGAAGACACCATGTTCCTCCAAGATCGCAGTGACATGTAGCTGTGGACGACTGCGACAAGAAAGACGCTGCAACGCCGCCAAGGCTGTGACCTCCAAGGGCCAAGTGCAATCGCCCCAGCGCCACCCAGAATTGACCCCATTGACTTGCGACGACGAATGCACACGTCTGGAGCGGAACCGCTCTCTGGCGGGTGCTCTCGGCATCGACATCAACCAGACAACCACGCTTCAAAACATCACAGCAGAGAACCTCCCCTACTCGGAAGAGACTCTAAATCAATACGTCCAGCTCGCATGCTCGGTCCCTCTATCAACCCTCCAAACCTACGAATCCAATCTCCATGCCCTGGCAGTAGCAGACAAAACCACCCGCTCATTCCGTTTCCAGCCGGCGAAATCTACTCTCCGCGCATTCGCGCACTCCCTCGCCGCAGACTGGGGCTTCGTGACAGAAAGCCACGACCCAGAACCCCACCGCCACGTTTTCGTCTTAAAACCGGTTTCCTGGACACCTCCCCTCTTCGGCATGGGCAGCGGCTCGACCATCGGTATCGGCGGCATGAGCGTACGCGAGTGTGTCAAGCTCCGCGAGCGCGAGCGCAGCAAAGAACAAGAAGCGCGTCGTGTCGCCGCCCTCGAGGCTAAGGCCACCCGTGAGGCCGCCAAGGCACAGGCTAGTGCTGGAGATGGTGGATGGGCTCAGGTTGCTTCGAAGAGTAAGGGTGGTAGTGGGGCTAGTTCGAGGACTGGAACTCCGGTTCAGAATCCGTGGGTGAGCAAGTCTATCTATGCTGCCCTTGATGGTGATGGCCCGAAGAAGGAGCGCTTGGTTCTGAGGTCTGGTGTTGGGGTCGGCAAGTCTTTGCGTGCGAAGACACCTGCGCCTGAGGTTGTTGATGATTGGGAAGAGGCTGAGGAGAAGGAAGAGAAAGAGGAAGCGGGGGAACAGAGTCAGGACCAGAATCAGGACCAGGAAATATCTGTCCGTGAGGACCCTGAGGGAAAGTCTGAACTTGCCCCTGAGACCGAGACTCCTGTGGACGATCGCCCCACTCAGGCTGAAGCAACTCAGGTCGAAGAAACTCAGGCTGAAGCATCTGTTACAGATGATGTGCCGGTCTAAACTTTTGGACAGGATTTGATGATTGATGACCTGAGAAACAACATGAAATGTGTTTCAACAGCGGTGGACATTTCTCATTCTTTGCGGACTCACTTGCATTGATCTTGGAGTTTGGAGTTTATCATACACGATACGACACAATATCGCATCTCGAAAGCGTCACACACATGATGCATCATGTTTTGGCATAGCTAAGCAAAAAAATAGAAGAGAAAAAAACCAAAATCTAGCTAGAAAAACTCGAAAACCACCACCCAAAAAAAGGCCAAATTATCAATACCCAGATCCCAAATAGCCAAAGACGTAGGCCATTAGTCTCCATAAATCCCGCTACACACTCAAAACTCGAAAGCCAGACCCCTACTTCTTCACCGGCACGACCTTAACAAACTGCAAACACCCCTCCTTCGTCGCCCGATACGGCCCATGCTCCATTCCAGGCTCCCGGTATGCATAAGCACCAATACCCCACGACTGTCCAAGCGAAAGATCCTCCAGCCCGCCGCGCAGCGTGCAGACCTCTTCGATGTACGTATGTGTTATTGGCTCGGTCTGTGCAGAGACAGTATTTGGCTCCCACCACTGCAACACGGCTTTTTGTTCTCCGTCGCCGTTTAGTAGGAACTCCCATACCCCCGGCGCGATGGAGTACCAAGGCAGTGCGGATGGGGAGTCCCTGGGTGTACCCACTGGTGGATGGGGTGGTGGGGTAGAGAATTCTTTTTGACGGAATGGCATTTTTGTTGGGTTTTTCTTGGTTTCTTTTTTCTGCGATAGGGGATATGGGGATGTGATAAGATGGGGAATATTTGGAAATGAGGAATATTGGGAGATGAGGGGCTTGTTTCTGAAGAGCTGGATTTAGGTAGAAGGATGGTGCCTTTAAGGTTATACTTCAGGGGCCCAGTCCACATGGGTAACCATGGTTGGGCAGTGAAATGATGACTAATTGATATTGGTGGATCCACTTTGATATCAATATGGATATATGGAGATTTGAAGCATTAGAAAAGACTTTTGCAAAGATTAACTGGTATTTGTCTTCTTTATTGGAAATATATGAACTCCTTTCCTGAAATAATTTACCAATGCACCACCCAGGACGCATGCTAGGGCTAATCATGGATGTATGTACGATGATATGTTGATGGTGTTTGTTTTTGCTTTTTGAGTCTCCAGTTCAAGTTGAACCAGATGTGCTGAAAATCAAAAGATTGAAAAGGTAGCCTTGGGGCTACAATCCCTAGATGAAGGATCGAAAGGTATAGCTTGCAAAGCTCAACGCGGACATTTGATAAGTGGGATCATACTAGAAGGCTAGACCTTCCTTACTTCAACTTCTTTGGTTGTATAATACTATAACCTTTGATGGCCCTTTAGTTTATGTGGTAGGCATATAGTCTAAAGTCTAAAGGGTTAAAAAAAGGAATGAATCCTCCGATGCTGTGTTGAATGTATGCATCGGTCTCGCCGGTCCAGCTCAATATGACAGTCTCCTCACTCCGTCCTTAGCTCGCAGAGAGCATAACAGCTAACGGTTGGACTACCCAATGAGGATTCAGAAATATTTTCTCTCCAGCGAAATATAAAGGACCCATATTTCCTAATTAGGCAATGTTGATGCCTGGTCATCTTAGTTCATACCTGAACCTCCTGGCACCCCATAATATGATTATGTCAGTAATTATGTCATCTGATAGTCCAGCATTTCTCTTATCTGGAGATTCGGATATTCTTTGTATTTACTCTACAGACTCAAAATGCCATCATTCCGACTGCAGGGATTTCAATCGGTGATCCGCGGCAACTCCCACCTGCTGCGTCATCAGCAGCGCCGGTGGGCTCAGGTCCACGACGTCCGCTTCCTCGCCTCACACCACGATCCCAAGTATGTCTTGGACAAGTATCGGTCCAAGCTGGACCAGAAGGCGAAGGAGTGAGCAAACCTCCCTCAACAATTAATTTTTCTACTTCAATGCTAACTATTTTATTCAGAGAAGGACATGAGTCCGTCGAGTCGTTGAAGGAAGCCTACAACGAAAAAATCCAAGAGCTCCGCCGCAAAGCATCTACTGTAGCTACCCCAGAGCCCAGCACTCCTACATCCACCACTGCCGTCCCAGACACACCCCCAGCTTCCCAAGCGCCCCCTCCCCCACAGGAATCGCGCACCGCCAAAGCCGCACGCGCCGTCTCCAGCGACTCCAGCCCCGTCAAGCCCCTCAGCACCTACCTGGACGTCGAGAAGATCCGCGAGCTCCCAGCGAAGGAGATTGAGGCGCTCTGGCGTCTCCGCTTCGCGGAGAACTCGCACGCCATCACCGCCGCCATCCCCCTCGACACATACAAACGCATTATGCAGGCCGCACGCGAGAACCCGCAGTTCATCCTGCCCCTCCCGCGTCCGCAGACCCCCGAAGAGGCAGCGCAAGCGCCCGAGGGAGCCGGCACCGTTGCCGACATTCACTTCCTCCAGTGGGGTTTCCACCCGCCTGCTGAGGGGTCCACTCTGTCCCCTTCTAATAACCACACCTCGACTGTGATCTTCACGAATCTGGGTGTTTATAAGATGCACGGCGCTTATGCCCAGCCTCACACTACTATCACTCACCACCTTGATCTGGCAGATGAGAAGGGTCTGGTTCTTATGCACGGTCAGATTATTCCCGACGGCGGTGTTTCAGCACCCGAGGCCACTTGGCTTGTTAGCTGTGTGCAGCGCTTCTATGACTTTGAGGGACAGGCTTCTGGTCGAAAGAGTGAGCTTGTTCGCATGTTCACCCGGGGTGATGTTGAGAACTTCAAGGTTGAGGAATTGGTGGATGAGGCCGAGAGACTTCAGTAGTCTGTTTCTGTCGTACTAAACCTTGTGACTTGTATTATATATATCACCCCATTCCATTTTGTGTGATGGATTTATAGATCTTTGGGACTTGGGCACTTGTTTTTTCAATAATAAACACCGATGTCTACAGAGAATTGGCTATTGCATATGGAACAGATGTAAAAAAATGACAAAATAAGAAATTGATTTTTAATACTTTGGTATTCTGATATATAAACAACTAGCAAGAATGTTGTTGTGGATTTTCATGCATTATCAAGTCCTTATTTATGAATTTGTTCAAACGAAAATCGAATTAGTAGATATAGCAGTATATATACCATGCTGCAGGATGTCGAAACTTATTCTACTTCAACTTGTCTCAAATTGTAACAATGTACTCGATGGCAATTAAGAAGTCCTAATAGCCCAGACTGATATCTGTTTAGTATAACCACCCTGCCAGTCTCCAGACCTCTCCCCCAAAGTCGCCACAATTTCATACCCAAGCAAAAAGTTCATGTAGCATTGAGTAGAGCGAGTGATACCATATATTATACAGTACTCCCTTCCGGCTCTATATTTCTCCAGGCCCTTGTAGGACCTTCAAAGGTTCCTCAACATACGGATAAGTCAGAAAGTGCCTCCAGGACCGTGGCCGCTGCTTACTATGTCCCTCTTCTGACAATTAAGACACCGATGCAACCTAGGCAACTAATGGGTGGTTCTTAAGGGTGCAAGGCCTCCACCTTAGGAATTTTGGGACCATTGGATAATGCCAACATAAGATCTGTTGTTGATGGGTATCTAGGACTGCGCAGCAAAATATTCATGAATCAAATTATTATATTCATACGGATTGCAAAGGGTTCTCCGTTTAGTATTTGCACAGAAGGAAACTTGCCGGGGCTGATAAGCAAGGCGAAAGGCAAAGATCCGTATAAAAATGAGCAGAGGAAAGAAACACGCCAAGTGCTCGACCCTGAGCCAATATTGTAAACACCGCGAGTATGATATCAGTGAGAAAGGAGGAAACAAGAAGTAAACAAGAATCAAACGTAGATTGGACAAAAAGAGTTAGAAAGAAGAAAAGAGCCATTCTCAATCAAATGGGAGGTATGGCCCTCCACCCCGAGGGCTTGGGGGGGTCAATAAAGGAAGTCGTCAGGGCCATGTATGGGCCATAAGAGGCAGGCTGTGATCATTTGAACGGATGCAAAGGAAAATTCGTGTCTTGGTTGCGTGGCAGGGGTATCATGGTCATAATTAACAGTTCTTGTTAATTGATTCTTGTGTTGTAGGGACCGAAACCAGACGTCTAGATTGGCCGTCGAAATTGACAGCCAAGCATTGGGGCAGAGCTTGAAGTATTTACACTTCTTGGCAGAAAGGAAGACCTGAGAGGAGAAGTCTTAGGCAAAGGGTTCGCTAGAGGGGATTCTAAACCCCCAAGCAAGAGGAGTAAGTCGCATCGGTTTACTGTTTATTAGATAGCACTTCTTCCGTAATGAAGGAAAGAATGTGCTCGAAGTAGCCTGGCTCAGCAACAGAGTCATTATGACCGCCGTTTGGGAGTGTGCGCCAGATCTTGCATTCGGACTGGCAAACGGCAAATAATTGGGTCATATTGGACGGACTAAGACAGGTTAGCAACGAGAGCGCCGCGTTTGGAGTAGACTAACTTACGGAACAAGCTCGTCCTTGAGACCACTCAGGAAAAGAACCGGAGTTTTGGTGATATTAGGCAGCACATCTTCACTGGTCCAATATTGGTGGCAGAAACGTGCCAGGTATCGTGCTGGGGGAAGACACTGGGTTCAAGTTAGTATTACTCGCCCGAGAATCTTGCTGATAATTCGAAAACATACTTTGGAATCAACTTCCGAATGCTCAGGAAAGTGTTCTCCAAGATCAGTCCTGCGATATCACCTTGCTCTTCGTTGGTGGCAACTAGATTGATAGCCACCGCGCCACCTAAACTTTGTCCGTAGACAACAATCTCGGTGTCTCTTGTCTCTGGGCGTTGTCGTAAGTAATCAAGGCCGGTTTGAGCATCGATCTTGATACCAGCTTCATCCGGTGTGCCTGTAGACATCCCGTATCCACGGTATTCTAGTAGAAAAACATCGCACTGAAGCGTATCTTGCAAAGCTTTGGCGATAGGGACACGGTGGCCGATGTTGCCTGCATTTCCGTGAAACATCAGGACTGTCAGATTGCGAGAAAAGCGACCTGGTCGTTGCCGGAGAAAAAGGGCGTTTAAAGACTCTCCGTCGGGCGTAGGGATCTGGAGGTCTTCAAAGTCGCTGATGCCAAATTGACGAGGACTGGGGACATTTGTGCGCGCATCCACTGGGACATTGCGGGGGTAGATTAGTTCACTGGGCAAAGTGGTTAGCTTCGTAAACAAATGGCCTAGATGCCAATAGCGTACTTTTGCTTGAAGTAGAGGAGGCCACTTGCAACAACAGCCAGACCAGATGACGCAAGAACAGGTAGTCGCATGAACTGCGCAGCACTGTTGGCCATGCTGCTGATGCTCCAAGATGGAGGTGGAGGGGAGTCGGACATGGCGCTCAAGTTGGCACTTTAAGAGTGGGGACCAGATAGAGAACGCGACAAAAGGAGGTCTGGGATATTTTGGTATTGCAAAATTATCGACTAGCAGATATGATCAATGCGACCAGAAATGGATACAGTAGGTTAATAGGAACAGCCACAGAAGAAAAGGGCAATTGAGCTTCAGGAGTCTCGCGGGGAAGATGATAAGTCGATCGTAGGGGCTGGGGCCTCACCGCCCGAGCTGCCGCGTTGTGAGCTTCTGCCTGTGTTCATGATAGCATCACCTCTACTTCTTCCCTTATCCTCCTTCTTCTCCTTGCCATTTCTATCTGGTCTATTGAAGTCATCTTTATACTTTCCCTATTTTCTCTTGAACACAACACAAAATGGTCGCCCCCCATGGAACATCAGGAATGCTCGGTGAAGGTTAGCAGAGCTATCGTCATCCGCCGACAGCAACCAGCTAACATCTCTCCAGATGGCATTCACGTCGACATGAACCACCTGAAGTCTGGTGAGGTCAAGTAAGCTAATCCCATAATGATACTATTTGACGTGAAGCTATATATATGACATGTACTAACGTCTCGTTCTTCATTCAGCTTGGGAACCTCGATGTGAGTTGAGCTGGAGCTCTCGAACCTTACCATCTCGAAACATCACCATTAACATTCCAACAGCATGGCCATCAACTTCAAAGACGGAGTCATTCTGGGTGCAGATAGTCGAACAACCACCGGTGCCTACATTGCCAACCGAGTCACCGACAAATTGACACAGGTGCACGACACCATCTGGTGCTGCCGATCGGGTTCCGCCGCAGACACCCAGGCTGTGGCCGATATTGTCTCCTACCATCTCAACATGTACGGCGTAACGAATGCCGAGGCCCCTACCACACAGGTTGCTGCATCACTCTTCCAGGAATTGTGTTATGAGAACAAGGATGCGTTGAGGTCTGTCCCCAAGTCTTTGGCATCATCTGTTGTTGGTTTCGAGATCCACGCTAACTGAAGCATAGTGCGGGTATCATCCTTGCCGGATGGGATGCACGTCACGGAGGTCAGGTGTACTCGATACCTTTGGGAGGATCCCTTCACAAGCAGTCGTTCGCTATCGGCGGTTCGGGCTCAACCTACATCTACGGTTATACCGATGCCCACTGGCGGGAACAGATGACGGAGGAAGAAGGCATTGATTTTGTGCGGAGTGCTTTGCAGGAGGCGATTAAGTGGGACGGCAGCTCCGGTGGTGTCATTCGTCTCGTGGTCTTGACCAAGGCCGGTGCCGTGAGACATCTCTACCTGCCAGACAACGGCTACACCGGGCCGGGAGTGACGAATTAATAAGTGTTCTAATATTGCGTCAATCTCCAAATGAAATGGTTTCATGATCCCAGTTCTCCGGTCTTTGCATTCTGTTATCCGCGCCCCCCACCGGGGATATACAGTGTCTGAGCGCGAATATATGACAAGTCCGGCACTAGTCCACGGGTGCTGCCATACCCCCCACCTTTATCATCGGGCTATGTAGGGCGAAAAGGACCGAGCAATTCAAGAAGCACTATATCGGAAGGGTTCGGCCAACTGGCCATTGGCTCATAACTGCCGAGTGGGGAAAACACCCGGTTTATATCCCCTAGTCTATTACAATATGGTATGAGGGACTTGATACTGTAGTACTTTGTAGAACACAGAAACAGAACACTAGATCTGCAGTTTCCATTGGTACGGAGTACTGCCTCTGCCTAGACCTTCTAAAGTTAGAGGTTAGATAGGCAGAGAACATGTCACATCCCACGTGCAGCATATGAACCTGCCATGCTCTCCATTATTCTTTAATGCAAGTTTATATGGAAGGGGGAATGCATGGTTCTATATATCGGGAAATATCCACATTAGCATTTTAATATTCATTCGTCCCCGGACTACAATATAAATATCAAATCCCCTGAGGGGACTTCGTACAAAAAGTAAATAACGCTAGGACAATGTCCGAATCATCATCCATGACACGGGTTCGCAGATCGTTCTATCATTCGTCAATATATCCTGACCTATAGACCCTCTACACCGTCTTTTATATCAACCTTTTACTAAGATGACAGGTAGATAATCTCTTTGAGGGTGAGTATGTTTCCTTTTTTTATATATACATACAACATACAGTTCCTTTTATATTAGTCCAAACAAGAATGACCAGAATCATATCTATATAAAAAGTTCCAAGTTGAATATTCAATGTTTAATTAATTGAATCCTGTTTCATCTCGGGGCCACACACTCTGACCTCACTGACCTCACTTTGACCCAAACTCCCCTTCCCCAACTCCCCCATATCTCTCCATATCTCTCCAGATTACTATATTACTTGTCCTTTTTCCCCCTTATCCTGTTCTATTCTGTTCCTTTTCAATGGATTTGATCAACAGTCGTTGATCCTTCACCTCTCCTTTTTAGACCGGGGATTTACCCTGATTCTGGTGGTCTAGCCCTTGTGGTAATCCAAAAGTGTAAGTAAACCCCTCTCCCTTTTTCCATTGTATTGCGTATATCATTTCTATTATTTCTCTCTTCTCTCTTCTATCATTTTTATCCTCTCTATTATCTGTGTCTTCTATTTTTCTACCTGTCCAGTTTAATGACCGAGCTGCGACCGCCTTGCTGACCCGTGTTCCCGCAGAAAAACAGACCACGATAGCCTGGACATGGGCTCCGTTGTCGTCAACCACGTGCCGTCGGATCATAACGACATGTTGGGAGGCGCAATCAATTCAGATTCAGTTTACTCGTTCGCCCAGCCAATGGACACTCACTCGACTTCCTCAAATACCCCCACCTCTACTGCCCCACCGTCCGTAGGCTCTGCTCGGCTTCCTGTGCATGCGAATGATGTACCGGCTTACATCAACTCATACACACCTCAAGCTTCCCGTGCTTCTTCCGATACTCCCAACTTCACCTCACGACCGCCCTCGATGACGTCTCATCCCAACCATGCCTTTCCTCCGGACCCTTACTCCTCAACACATACCCCACCAACCCAGAGCGGGAGCAACCCATACTCTTCTAATCAGTCAGCGCCGGATTCACCGCGCCTCCAACCCACATACCAGTCCATGCAGTCTGTACCAGGCTCCGAAGCCAATTCACCGAGTCGCATTCGCGTCCAAAGCTTGTCCCATATTCAGAGTCTCGCCAGTGAGGATCTGGTGGGATCGCGGAGCTCCCACACTTCCGGGACGGGGTCGCAGCAACGACAGTATGAGATTAGCTCCATGCCGGTCACGGAGATCATCGAGATGGTCGCTGGGCTTTTGACCAAGATCACAACTACAAATGATATGCATCACGAACATGTACATCGCCACATCCCGCCACCCGAGGGCACCTCCAACCTTAGCCCTCAGGCTACCAGCGTACTCGCATTCCACGGAAAGAATGTCCCGACCATCACCATCCTGAGTTACTTGACTCGTATTCACAAATATTGCCCTACCACCTACGAGGTCTTCCTAAGCTTGCTGGTTTACTTCGACCGTATGACTGAGCTGGTCAACCGCGATCAGCTCGACCACCTGCACCAACGTTGGGACTCTGCCGAGGAACCCGGATCTTCGTCCACATCTACCGAGTCTCCGGGAGACCACCAGATGCAGGATTCTCTAATGGCGACACCTCCCCCCTCCACAGGCTTTACTGCGCAGGACTCGCAGGGGTCGAATACTTCAATTTCACCCGGCCTTTCACCTCAGTCGGATGCTGAGGCACTTTCACATTTCTTCGTCGTTGATAGCTTTAATATCCACCGACTGGTCATCGCTGCCGTGACCTGTGCGAGCAAGTTCTTCTCTGATGTTTTCTATACCAATTCGCGTTATGCAAAGGTATGTGATTCTTGATCTGACTCGTGGATGACCACTAATCATCATATGCAGGTTGGCGGTCTTCCACTAGTGGAGCTTAACCACTTGGAACTACAGTTCCTTCTTCTGAATGACTTCCGCCTCGCCATCACCGTCGAAGAACTAGAGTCGTATGGGACCATGCTCGTAGAGTTCTACGCACGAGAGGTTGTGACCCAACAGCAGCAACAGCACAGAAGTCTTCCCCGCGCGATTGATCCCCCAGCCGACACATACTCTGATGCCATGTACATGCGATCTCGTGATAAGCCTCGCGACCACGCCGAGTTCGGACAAACTCCAACACCACCGTAGTGCGTTCATCGGATACCTGAGTTTGTCATTCCACCTGGCACATTTCTTTTCTTTCCCCAGTCCATGATCCACCCATCTTATCCTTCCCCATATTTCTTTTGCTATCCTCGACCCGTTGAGCGTTTGCCTATCTCATATCTCGCACTCAACCTTGTATCCATTCCGGTTTCTGGCGTCTCATACCCTTCTCCCCCGTCACCTCATACTCACACACCCTTTACATCTCTCTGGATCTGTTTCAGCGCATTTATACGTCACGACTTGTATAGAGTTTTGGTTCTCAGGCCGGGCTTTGCGGGTTGTCTCTTTACAACTATTCCCCCTTCTTGCAACATACATAAACATCTACTTGGTCTTGTTACTGGTCTTGTGAGTTTGTGCTGTCTTTTATCTTTTTCATGGGTTGGTGTTATGCTGGCGCTTTTCTTGCATCACGAGTTTGTCTACAGATTAACGTGTCGTCCTTTAGGGGTAGTCTCGAATATCCTCCTAATATGCTTTGCTTCCATTCCTGCTGTATTATTATTGTAGTTGTAGACCCGTATATTCACGGAGTGGTCCAAGTACATAAATACACGACCTTCAAGTTTCGAGACCTGCATGCTGTAGAGGACCAGCAAGCAGCGATTGATATTGATACCAGAATCTCAGACTTCATCCCGACAATAGAAAATCTGCCAACTCTATGCAAAATTGACCGCAAAAGGAAACAAACACTACAGGGCAGATTTCGGATCTCGGCATCGGGCTTTGTTACACTTAGCCCTAAGTGACAGTTTCCCATCATACATATTTATATCACACCTGAAACGATGTAGCTTTGACTCCAGACTGAATAAAGTCTGATTACACCTCTATCGTTTATTAGCTGTTCGAAGATCCTGTCACGCTATAGACCAAAAAAGTACTAATCCCATTCTCTTCTCGCTTGTCTTCTACATATTGCGACACATGATCAAAATTTAATCCCAATCCCTTCTTTTACAAGTGTGGCAGCCATAACAAACTTATAGGCAACAATGTTGATACAATACTCATTCTTATGGACTGGTGAGCCTGGCAATACCCCAATAACAGTAGGCCAAGTACTGACGAGGATCATTCAGTCCTGCTCATCTCACTTCGACCATCCCCATCCCCATCACTGGGACAGAAAGCGCGTGTATTACAATGAATACAGACAATACAGCTGCGAACAGGGTTGTTCCAACATTATCCTCGACGGGAGGTGATCCTGCTCCATTCGTGATTCTTGACAGCAATCAAGAACACTGGTGTCTCAACTGCCATGGTGCCTGACATGACCAACACTCTCGGGCATAGTGATCAACAGAGGCACCGAACCCTATAGGTAATGCAGAGGCAATTGCCCAGTACCGACCGCGACGATGGAAATTGCTAGGACCAAGCCATCTATACCTGATGTCTGGATAGACATCCTATGATGGTCTGGGCGGTTGCTTATGCATGAGCAATAGTAAGCCTGGTTTCGTACTCGGTGGTCACCCATCTCAGGGTTGTACTTGAGACGAGCACAGGCCACTCAAATACTATACTCGGCTTCGGCTTCATCCTTTCTTCTTCATACCCCTCGCACTGCGAGAACATATGATGAAAAAAGAAGTAAAAGAAAAGAAAAAGGTAGGAGGATACCAGCGGGTACTAAAAAGTCAGTTAGCACAGCCACAGAAATCCATGGGCAAAGGCATGAACGTCCTCCCTTCGCCAAAAAAGCGAGCCACCACACGTCCTGCTGCCTTCCTCACGATCACAGACGGAGACTTTCGCCAACCCTCCCCTAGAAGATGCTCGGTCAGGGTGTGATAAACAAAAATCAAAAAGGAGTGTGATGGTATTTTACCTGGGAAGCCAAAGGATGATGCCACTACATGCTCTGCTGCCTTCCTCACAATCACAGACAGAGACGTCCCCAAAACCCTCCCCCAGGAGACATGCGGTTAGTACGCCGTCCAAAGGAAAGAAGTGAAATCATATTTACATTAAAAGGAGAAAATGATGAAGTCACCACACGTCCTGCTGCCTTCCGCATATTCACAGCTAGAGATGTTCGCCCTCGCCCTCCCCCGGGAGTCATGTGGTTAGTATGCAGTTAAACGAAGAAAGATAGAGTGGAATCATATTTACCTTGGAAAAAAGGGAAATGAAACCACCATATGTCCTGCTGCACTCCGCACATTCACAGACAGAGACGTTCCGTTCGATCGGTTCGATTCGTGGCGACGGTACCCACCAACCAACTGAGGATGTTAGCTCATGGAACTATCAGAGGCCTGAAGTATATTTACCCCCGTCACCACTCCAATTGAGCCACCACACGCTCTGCTGCCTTCCGCGCATTCACAGACAGAGACGTCCCCAACCCCCTCCCTACAAGACATAAGGTTAGTATGCAGCCAACAATAAGGAGTGGAATGATATTTACCTTGGAGGAGAAAAGGATCAATCCACCACACACGCCCTGCTGCCTTCCGCATGTTCACAGACAGAGACGTTTGATCAGTGCGATTTTCGGCGGTGACGCCCACCAGCCACCTGCAATTGATTGACATGTTAGCTCTTGGAACCAACAGAGGCCTGGAGTATACTTACCCACGTCGCCACCCAATTGAGCCACCACACGCTCTGTTGCCTTCCGCACGTTCACAAACAGAGACGTCCCCAAACCGCTCCCCCGGGAGACACGCGGTTAGTATGAAGCAAGCCCAAAAGGACAGGGTAGAATGATATTTACCTTGAAGGAGAAAAGAATGAAGCCACCACACGTCCCGCTGCCTTCCACATGTTCACAGACAGAGACGTTCCATTTAATCGGTTCGATGCCCACCCGCCACCTGGAATTGATTGTCATGTTAGCTCTTAGAGCCATCAGATGTTTGACAAGGACTTACCCTAGTCGCCACCCGATTGAGCCACCACACGCTCTGCTGCCTTCCGCACGATCACAGACAGAGACGTTGCCCCCATATCCCCAAAGTACTTACCACATCCCCAAAAAACAAACAACGCCAAAACGCCAAAACGCCAACAAGAAACACAGGAAGCAATTTTTTTTAGGGTTTTTTGTTTTCACAAAAGCAAACGGCAAAAGCCTCAGCAGAACAGAACAAAACGCCAAAAAAAAAAAGCAGACCCAAAAAGCAAAAAGAACAACACGAGGGAAGGAGGAAGGAGGAAAAAAGAGGAAGCCAGCCAGTCAAGAAGAAGCGAGGACACCAAATATGGACCGTCAGCGGCAGCATCAGAAGAAGTACATCCCATAAGCGAACAGGAGCACAAGCGCAGCATAGAATGCTGGTACAAGGTATGGGAAGCAGAACCCCAACACAAGGCAGAGCCCACAGAGGTCGTAGAAATAAGTGGCAGAGAAGGGGCCAACCTGGACGCGGGTGTGAACCGCACGTGTACGGACCTCTGCAGGTACATCGGGGGAGTGAGGAGCAACCACAGACTTGGGAGCAGGTGCAAGGGATGATGATACTTCAGAGGGAGTATCAGGGTCGGGAAGTGCACGCTTCAGGGAGGACATGTCGGAGGCAAGCCCACGTGGTGAACCATCAGGCTCAGGCAGGGCATCCATCAGCGAGCGCATGTCGAAGGTGTCATTCGGGTCCGGCAAGGCATCGGTCAGGGAGGACATGTCGAAGTCAGACCCATGCGGTGAGCTATCGGAGGCAGGCTCAGGCAGGGTGTCCTTCAGGGAAGCCATGTCGAAGGTAGACTCATCGGAGGAAGGTGCGGATCGCGGAGCACGTGGCTGGGACGAATACGCAGCGGCGAGTTGACGAGCACGGACAACGCTCATCCACTGGGAATGGCGTTCGTACTGACGTCCATCGCTTCCAGGAAGCTTGGAGAGGAACCGCTGGTTCAAGCCCGAAGGATTCGAAGTGTACAGAAGGAACGACTTCGTCTCCGCGATTTGGCCTTTTTGAAGATGGTCTTTGTGTCCCGATCCTTGCGAGCCGGGATTGTCCTGACCCGCTCAAGGAAGAGCTTGTCCTCGGGGAAGTGTACAGTCTTCCGGACGTGAGGCTCCTCAGAGGGGTTGGAGTCCCGGTCAGAGGCGGCGAGGCATGGCTTCAGAGGGGCAGGGCGGTGTTTAGAAAGGAGCCGGAGGCGAGAAGGATGAAGCCTTTTGCCAAAAGAAGAAGAGGAAGAAGAAGGGTACATGATGAAAAGCTTTGAAAGCAATAAGAAGTGGTTTTGGTAGTCAAAAGCAAGAGCAATTGAAAAATAGCCAGCGGCATGGGGAGAGGAGAGAGGAGAAAAGGAAAAGAGGAAGAGAGGACTGGGAGGGGAATAAATAACAAGTCGAGATATTCCATGGCAACGGGCAATGGGCAACGGCAACAGGAAGGTACGATGGGATGCGTAAATAGAATATGATGAAGCTATACAGGAAAGAACGATCGGTGGTGGGAATAGAAACCAGTTAGGGCAAGGGAACTACGACCTCACCAGAGGCAGGAGCATTGGCACCACAACTATATACTATGTATATACTGTGTACTGCATGCTGCATGTATGGACTTTGGGATGTAGCTTAATTTTTAATATATATATTAATGTCAATCTTATATATATATTTTTTTTATTTAATAATAAGTTTTATTATTAATTTTAATTTAAACCTCTGTAAGAAAATATTAATATAAAACTTATATCTTATAAAAATTTAAACCTTTAAATATGACAACAACAACTTTTTTTTTATTTTAATTCCAGTATTAGGTATAATATTGTTACTATACTCTTCTTTCTAAGGCTGCTTTATGTCTGTTCTTTTCGCTGTGCCGGGGAAGACGAAAACAGCCAGCAAAAAGACAGCAAAAAGATAGCAAAAAGATACATGACCAATGCTCTTTCCAAGTATATTAAAGGGAATGCAAGGGCCCAAACAAGTAATTGTACAGTATCACTGTATAATGAATCAGAGGACTATACATGGATATTTCCTAAGGGTCTGAATAAGTTTTCGTACATGACCTTCAGCGATACGCTCAAAGCTTCAATACGAGGTTCGGGCATTTTCTGGATATGTCTCGGAGCCTCGAACGGAGCAGAAAGTAACCGGAAGCGAGTCAGCGAGTCACTTAGGAACTTAATTGTTGGCGTTGTTACTTCGGCAAGAATGAGCTTAACACCCATTCCTACAAAAGATAGCCACAGCAAGACCAGAACGGTCGAAGTGGACGGACGTCTTACACATGGACAGATTAAATGTGATGCAAATAAATTCAAAGTAAAATCGCTCAACCTGGGAACCGCCTGCACTCCACCGGGTCATAATGATACATGCATTTCTTCTCAATTTTTCCAGTGAGCATCAGTGGACAAAGACTCATGAGAACATCGCTGGGCGGGCGATATGTTGGACTTCCTGCTCCTCGAACTACACTCAGTTAGTCACACGATCACCAATTCGGTTCAATGGATTGCAAAAGAAAAACCTACCTCCATGAAATCTGTGGCAGTAACAAGAGCCATGAATGTCTTGACTAGTTCACATAGAGTCTCGTGGTGGGCGGTTGATGTATTTCCAATCTTCGCAGACCGTTTGAAGATTCCCACCATGCATGGCCGGTTTTCGGCCAAAAATATCCGGGTTTGCTCCTTAAGCTGTTCGTTGTGGATACCTCGGGAGAACACCGCATATACAATGACCTGAAGGACCGAAAGGAGAAGGTCGTAATACCTCTGAAGGGCATCGGGATTTTCAATGTCTGAGGAGGTCAGCAAGATATAATTAGAGCTGGATATGATTGACTGACCAATGCCGATGTCTGGATCAGCAGCGAAAAGTCGTGATTCGTGCACAGCTTGGAAGAGACCAGAGTTAAGCACACAATTTGCTCCGACCTTGGTTTGAGACAGCCGCTGAAGTAGTGACAAAAGCGACTCGTAGTATGCCAGTAGTGCCGGGGTATCTGAAGTTTTGATTAGTTATAATAGCGTGGCTGTTTCAAAGGGGAAAATGACTAACCGCTTCTCTGGGCATTGTGAAGTTCGACGGGAAGAGACCGCAAAGCATCTAGGAATAGACTCAAATAGTTTGACCTCGAGATTAACTCGGCCAAAACACAATCAGTTTGGCGATCGAGAACAGCTAAACTGTTCAATAGAACAAGAGCGGATGCACGACACGACTCTTGGCCAGTATAGGCGTCATCACACATGGTCTCAATCAGGCTGGAACCGGCCGCTTTGATGACATGTTGGCTCAGACGTCGTAGGTTTTCGTGGCCCTTGTTCGACGATGTGATGCGTATTATGTAGTGGGAACAAATACTGTAAAGTGTTTCCCTCAATAACACATTTCCTGTTGCCAGGTTCGTACCTCGGATGCAGAGTTGGAAAAGCTGGTGGAGCTTTTCGTCAATGACATCCCCGCTTCGAGACGCATCTGTTGCCGACGGCTCTGACGCAAGTCTACCGATCAACAATTCAGCCAATCGTGCCAGTTCAAGTGCTTCGGGAAGATCTGCCTCGATTGCCGTTGTGAGCTTGGGAAGAATCAATTGGATTGAATGGAGAATGAAAGCCGGCCTGCTTCCTTCATCGATAGCAGAGCAAGTGATCATGGTAGCAACGAGCTCTACCCAGGAACGGAGAGCGTGATAGCGATTGATTTGAATCAGGTTGTTCTGCTTTGTTGCAAGAATGAACAACTTCAGATCATTGGCCTCAGCTAGCAACTGCTCTTCATCATGCGGGCGGAGCGGTCCATTGGCCGTGAGTTCCGCTTTCCGCATTTGAATCATCTCCTCTACCCCTTCCATACTGTACACGCCATCCTCCCGTTTGCTTTCTAATTGAAGAGCAACATCACCGAGCAAGTAAAGCTGGGGCATGTTGAACTCGCGTCCAACATCAAGATCGGCGAAATCGAAAAGGTCAAACACGGAGGGACTGGAGATTGGTTCGCCGTTATCCGCAAGCGTATTTCCGAGCAAAACCGAAAGAATTTGGGCATGTAGAGCCGGTGATCTAGCCTTTGCTGTCGATCGAACCTCGGTTGCGGCGTATGTGAACAGGTGACTTCGGTAAAGCAAGAATTCTGCCAAGGCAGTGGCACCGTCGGTAAGCCAAAATTCCTCTGAATCGATAGGGAATCCATTCCAGGCCGTGCTCGGGCCAATAATCGGTTGGTAGGCAAACATCTCGCGCAGGAATGCTTGGGCACGCATTTCACCAAGGGTGTAGTAGCTTGCCAGCTTCGATGACCACAAATGCTTCAGCACTTCAAAGGCCATACGCTTGAGGTGCACTACCCACGATACAATGCCATCATCGAGGATCTCCGGATAAGACTTTAGGAAATTCACGATGGCATGTAGCAAGGAACTTTGATTTGCAAATAGCCCTTCCGATGACACATCAAGAATATTGCCCACGCAGTCGAAGCCCAGCAGCAGATGAGCTACCGTTGGGCGATCTGTGATCGTTCCTAGGCAGCTGTTCAAAAGAGCAAGAAGGCTTTCTCGAATGACATAGCCGGCGGCATTCGGCCCGAAATCGAGTTCTCTCACATCAGCTTCCATTTGCAACACAAGAGGCCGGGATATGCTGTCCACATCGACCTCAGATGCAAGCACCTCCACAATCTTGTTCGAGGATTGCCACTTGACGAGTTCCGGCGAAGTCATCTTGTTGAGCTTTCTGGAACTAGTAAGCTTTTCCAACAAAGCCATGGAAATGACGGTGAGTTGTTCATGCGCCGTGCCACAATAGAGACAGAGTGACGGGATGAGTGTCAGATTGTTTAGCACGGTGTCCTCGAATGAAGCGAGCGACGAGTTTGCGACGAAGGTCCGGGATGGTCCGGGCTGAGAGTGCACCAAAGGCTTGACAATGTTAAAATATGTCGATTGCAGGTCCACGAGCAAGTTCATAACCTCCAGGCTCCGGTGCAAGGTCAGAACCAAAACAGAGTCAGGTGATGCGGTAGCAACGTCCGAAACGTCTTGTTTAGAGGCTGCAAACAGAGATTTGAGTACATCTTCGTTGAAAAGCCAGTCCACCACGCGGGCGAACGGGTGCGAGCGAACGTAGGTGAGAAGCGATGATGTTTGCATCGGAGAATCGGACACGGATGGCTGGCTGAGAAGTAACACGAGGTCTTCATTGAAGGATTTCAAGCTTGCTACAACGAAGTCCAGGCAGTTGAAAGTCAACATGCGGGATTGATACTCGTTAAGATCTTGAATCTTCCGTGAAAAGGCATGCCCTAAGATGAAATCGATGTAAGGTTCAATCCCGGACATGCGATAAGTTCCACCTAAGGTCTCCGGGAAAGGAAGCGACATTGGGTCATCAATTGCGTCGGAGGAGGGAGCAGTAAGTGCATTGATAAGAACAACAAATGCATTCGTCTGGTCAAAGCTCTCTCCAATCTTCTGCAAGGCTTGTTGCTGGTGCCAGACGGCAGGATTGGAAACCAAAGGCACTTTGCCAATGCCGGACGCACCAGTTCCTCCCGATAACCACCCATCGAGACAGACCCACGTTTCGTTTCCAACAGTGGAGACTTTGTCAGTCATCAATGCTGAGAGAGTTGAAAAGGTAGTCGCCCGAAGGTGCGATGGAATCGGCCCGCTGCACAGGTCTAGCAGCGTGCTAACTACATTGAAGGATTCGTTTTGCAGCATCCAGTCTCGGATAGGTCGGCTCTGCTTGCACAGGTGGCCTATCAGCCGAAGGTAGCATGTCAGCATCACTGGGCTCTCAGGCTCATTCATCTCCACGGGCTCTGGTTTCCGTGGACGAAAGATCCCTTGTGGCCCTTGCGGGCTTGTTGTAGTGGAAGGCTTCTCAGTGACCCGGGATGCGTACAGCTTTAGTTCAGCGAACATTTGCGACCAATTCATTGTTGTGGAGCGTTTAAATTTGGAGGCCATAAATTTGTCTTCCTCCGACAGGAATCGATGCGCCGCGGCTGCATTTTCTTCACCTTCGGATATCGAACATAGCATTTCGCAAAAAGCGCTCACTCGAGGAACAGTTTGCCGTTTGGACGCCCACTGAAGGAATCCATAAAGATTCCCATCAGGGTCAGCCCAAAATTCTTGGGCGGCTTCTTGTCGGTGCTCAAAAGCGAATGAGATTATCATAAGAAGGGACTCAAGGTGAGTCCGCACCTCTACCAAGCCACGGTGGAGGTTAGAAGTGAG